TGGCGTGCTCTGCATGTTGAGCGGCTTTTGTTTTCTTACACATCCTGTTTTGCATGCGAGATACAAGGCTTATAGCAAACTGCAAATCAGAGTTTTGATGTGTTTTTTTCTCCCCCAAGCAACTTTCTTTTTGCCACTCCTTCATAAACATAGGGTTTACGAGTGCACAACTAGTAATTGTGTTGTCAACGGATTTTCTAATGAGCTGCAACAATTTAAAGTTCAAGTTGGCATACTTTTCCGATGTACTCTATTTCTCCTACTGCACGTTAATGTGCTTATTTGTGCCTTGAAATACTTTCAGTTTTTATGATGAAACCACTCAAAATACCTTGAGGTGGTTTTGTCATAAAATACTTTTTTCACATCTCACCCAAGAGGTGAAAATGTCATTGCTACAAAACTTCTTAGTACCTATTTTTTGTTTCAACTCTCAAACACTCTAAAGCAGAGCTTTGTGAGGAGATTGCGAGGGCATCATTTCCTGAAGCTGTTTTTGGTATTGTAAATATTTAGTGAGGGGGGGTTACCACGCAGACGACCTGGGATCTCGTCAGTTCAGTTTCAAGTCCTCCAGAACAACCTGGTTCAGAAGCCCTGCGGCTAAATATTCACCTCGCTTTTTGCCAGCTTCGCACATTTACGCCGGACTCATCTTGCTCAGGCTGCACAAGCCCGGTCAGATTGGAGCGGACAGAATCCAACATGTCTGAGTCGTCCTGCCAGCGCTCGGCTCGTAAAGAGCTGTCATTTCAGCTGGAGTTGTTAGCCTGTAATGTGTTTACACTGCAGACAAATCTGGATCCGCTATGAACTTTGAGCAGTCGGCGGCTTTCGGCCTGCTCCGCCGCAGATAAAACTCCAGAAAACATAAATAAATCCTCTCCACGATTCTCTTCAATTCTTGACAGCAGTGTGAGCTAAAGCTCATTTAAGCTAATTCTAATGACAGCATTTGTATCTGCTCACATTTCCAACAGGAGGGGAACAGAGATGAGCACGAGGATAAAAATGCATGTCAATTGCCTGTATGGGGGAGGATTTCATTATCCTATTGAGACTAATTATGGATCACAATGACATAGGACAAAAAGCTCTTGTAAGTTGGAAAAAAAGATAATTAGTCAGGAGAAAGTAGAACGGAGGTACATTTCTATCATGTAGAAAGTTTTTGAGTTTTGTGGTTCAAAACTCTGCAAGTGACTTATTGACTGGTAAAAGGTCTGTAAATATACAGAGGAGACAGTCAGTCCGTCCAATTACAGTTAATTAATATTTGTGTAAAATTATTTTTAAACATAGTTTTCGATGTCAAAATGCAGTGCAATCAAAAAGAAGTAACACTAGTTGATTTTTTTAAAACAATTATGTTACAGTCATTATGAAAGATGTGTTGTTGAAGTTTTATGTAGTGAAACCCGAGGAAGACGCTTTGGTCATCTCAAATAAAAGTCAAACCTTTTGGGCTTTATCCAAAAAGCACCTCAAACCCTTTATAAAACATGGTAGTGGCAGCATCATTCTCCGCAGTAGAAAAAGACAGATGAATGAAGCCATAGATGGGAAGTTTAGGGCCTGGCAATAAATCAATAACAATGCATATTACAATAAATACGTGATCAATATCAATCGATGATTTCAGTGAATGCTGATCCAGAACCGCACAGCATTCTGGGGGATGTAGGCAGAGGAAAGGCTTTGGCCGCTCAGCCTCTCCTGGTCAGCTTAGCAAGGTTGGTGGCATCGACTAACTCACTCACTCCTGGCAACAACCTGTGGAGCAACTCGTTTCAGGTTTTACGTCAGAATTTCTCAATAAAAATAAAAAACAAATAATGGTGTGGACTGAGTGAAGGGAGAAAATTGGTGCAGAGAATCTGTGGCAGGACTCGGCATAAAGGAGCCGAAAGAGTCGTACTGCAGCTCCAACTGCAGCAAAGAGCTGAATATATTTACACACCACACTTTACAGATTTCCAAATGAATAATTTTCTATCTATTCCACAATTATGTGCTATTCTGCCATATCAAACCCCAGTCAGTATATTTAATAATGAGGTGATAGAATTGAATAGTTGAAGAGGAATGAATGTTTCTGGAAGGTATTTTCAAATGTAGCTTCCCTCGTGACATTACAACAAGAGTTAGGGTCACACAGATCTGTGAAAGCAGGCCGCGCTGCTATTTGACAGCTGTGTTTGTAAATGACTGTTTCCTGAAAGCACATAAATCTTTTACACACTAACTCTCTGGAAGCATTTTCTTCATTCCGGTGTTAGAAATTTCTTTCCTCGAGATATTAAAAGCACCTTCTAACCAGTTGGGTTTTTGCTATCTCCACCCACTAGTGCTTTTTACCATAACACAGAGCAGATGGGCCTTTTAATAAAAGTCGAACCTTACACGGCTCAAATTAAGCTTTTCAAATAGAGGCAATAAATGTGGCGTCGGCGTGCAGTACGGTGTCCTGAACAACGAAGCATGAAATCCTGTTCCAGTGCCGCGTGTGGAGATGAGCCCTTTAAATTCATTTACTGGCAAGTTTGTCTCAATTTCTGCATTGTCACTTGAAGAGGACGGACTTCAGTTTTTGTAATTGCCATCTAGAGCGAAGACAATTTAATGAAAATAATAGGAATATCAGGCTGCCATAGTGTTTTGGATTGTTTTCTTCATATCCCAGACTTCCTTTGTGGTTTTTGGCTTTAGGTGCTGAATTTCCGTGACAATCTGCAGTGGTGTGGATTTAACTGGCCAAAGTCATACTGGTTTGGTTTCAAAAGAAACGTTTGGATTTTTAAAAAACAGATTCTGTGGAGGTCAGATTCATAAGGTAACTCTACTAAAGGCAGTCCTAGAAATTATTTCAGCCACCCAAAATTAAAAATTAAAGCAACTGAAGTTTAATATGTACTCAAGTAACACATCAGTATGTTTAAGATAAGTCAATTGTTCAACAATAGTTGAAATTTGTTTCTACTTCCTGTGAGCACGCTTTCTGTTTTCGGTAGTGGTTACATGTTTTACCTCGCTTTTCCAGGCTTCAGTATCAACAATGTTGTATAAAATCTCAGTAATTTAAAATAAAAAATACAATTCTTCCCTTTCAAAGTCTAAAATGACTAAGAGAAGTAAAATCAGAAGTAAATTGTTCGGTCATGTCAATGCTTTATTTATTAATACATATCATGTCCGGCAGAACACGCATCTTAGTTGAACGCATCTTAGTTGAACTGGATCATAATAAAGTCTTAATGTTTCTATATGTGTTGTTATAAAAAGTCACTGTTGTGTGCAAAATAGTTCACACTCAGTCCTAAACAAAAGCAGTCCATAATCAATACGAACAGTGAAAGAAGCGTTTTGCTCCGGCGGAGCCATCCTTTATTGGGTAGGTTACTGTTTAAATCAAAAATCATTATAATGCAAACAAAAAAAGATGAATAAATGAATGCTATGGAAAAAGTTCATCTGTTATAAAAGCGCAGTAGCTTTAGTGTTTTGTGTTTTTTGGGGAGGTTGGGGGTTTACCTCCTGTTCCACAAAATCTAGAAAATAAAACTACCGAAGTCTGGAGTTCATTGATTTTTTATTATTTTTTTTGTGGTTTTGTTTTGATGTAGTGTGCGTCACTGTGTGTCAAATCGTGTTCATCCTCATGCTGAAAATGAAACATGTTAAGCATGCAGACCACCGGAATAAACACAGTGTTGTGCAAAATAAATTAATCGAAATTTTCAGGGACTAAAGCAACATTTTGCAGATTTGACCAGTCTTCAACTGGATTCTTCAGTTCTGGTAACAACTCCCCAGAGCCTCCCTTTAAAAATCCGAACTATCCCTTAAAGATGAATGAAATAGGTGAGCCCACTAACCCAAACGATGCCGTTAAACGAAATGAAAAAGGAAATGAAGGTATTGATTAAATTAGATTACCAACAATGTCAGCTTTTGTAACAACTTACAGCATCCCATTTGGTTACAACCTCCACTTTATGACTTCACTTTACTTTCTACCTAATATTAAAGGATTGATTCATGAATGGGCGTCATTTATCTCTTTTCCAACAAGTTTCTTATAATTTATCTCGTAAATCCATTTCTTAGTTATTGAAGCTGTATTTTTTTAAATATATCTTTCGTAAGTTGTTAGTGGATGTAATTTATTTTGATTGTTGACACCAGAAATGTGAAACTATTTAAATTTTCTTTTAGTCAGCTTGTTTGTTGGTCTCAATTATCTCCACTGAGAGAAATTGAGGAAAATTTTTCTTTTCTTTGTTTTTGGTCAGTCACTTATCAAAAGAAACATTTGAGACTACACAACCGGTCCTAACAGGCTGTTGCTTTACATGCTGTGTGTGTATTCTGGCTGATAACGAAATAAATATAAGAAGGGAGTGTGTCAGATTTTGCACCATAAGCATACAAATCAGGATCAGAGACATTTTATTAGCTGGAGTTCACTAAACCTCTTCAAGCGCTCAGTCATTTGCTGACGTTTACATAAAACTGTACGAAAGGTCTTTGTTTTGCTTTTGTTTTCCATGTCTTTCAACAAAATGAGGACAAATCTTTTCCCCTATCGCTTTGTATATTTTGGAGTACAGTAAAACAGATGGACTGTAAAAAGTAAAAAGTCTTTTGAAACTTCATTTATTCCAGCAATTAATATCTGTATTTAAACCCTTATATATCTCATTAAACATGATGATGTTCTATGATATATTTCAATAATTTTTATTTTTTTATTTTGATGATTGTGGCATGAAGTTAAAAGAGAAATGTATTTCAATTACAACTACTTTAACTAGTTCACTGAGATCCATTGGTGAAAGTTATTTGTTACGAAAAATTGTACATCCGGTCTTATTTTGTCTTGCTTCAACTCTTTTTTATCTTCTCTTTAACAAAACAAAGCAACTTCTCAAGATATGTAAGCCTAATGTTCAGTTGTGTGTGCAAAAAGTTTTAACTTAACCTCTGCTTCTTTTCTTTAGGCCCTTTGGAGAAACATGTGATGACCCACGCAAGGCAGACCGCTTCCCTCAGGCAGAACCACAGTAATTCTGACTGGTGGGACACCAGCCATACCTGGCCTCATGGTGGCACTATGGGCGGCGACTGGCCTGAGCGAACCTTACGTTTCGGCAGGACAAAGAAGATAAGTGTGGTCACAAGACAAAAGAAAGACCAAGAGCCCAAAAGGATGAATGAGAAGAGGGAAGGAAGAAAAAAGCCGGACGAGAGCAGACAGCTTGACCAAAGGCGAGACAAGAAACGGGTCCGAAAGTTGTACCCGCTGCGTGGTCGGGGTGGGAATCCAGAGGAGGAGCTCAGCTGCCATGTTCTCCTTACCCGATTGGAAGAAGGCTCACATGACAAGGGGAGGTCTAAAGGCAAAGGAGGAAAAGACGGGCCCAAAACCAAACCCCAAATGGACAAAACCAGAGACAGAATGAAGGCAAAGTCACTACCAAAAGCCAAACTAAAATCAAAACATAAAGGTCTGGCTGACTATTCTGAGCTGAGAGACTTACAGCCACGCAAGCGCAGACTGGCATCTCTCAACGCTGAGGCAGTGAATAGTTTACTGCTTGAAAGACCCACCGACGCCCAACCAGTAACCAAACAGGCCAGGAGGCAGGAGGATCCTCTGGACGGAGTGGATCCAGCCAGAAGTTCTTTGCCTGCAAGTCCGAAAGCTTCACGAGGGAACATTAGTAAAGTCTCTCCGCCCAACAAGGTTGAACTGTTCCAAAGTCCTAAGCCGAGCAAGAAGGCTAAAACCAGCCGAGGCGATGAAAGAGTCTGGATGAGTCAGGAGTGTTTAAATGCACCTGCACCAAGACGACTAGCTGGACTCAATGCTGCAGCCCTGCTGAAGTTAACAAGCTCCTCAGTCACCAGTAAGCAGAGAGTAAAGGCAGCACCCACTGCAACGGTTACGTCCAACTCTACGGCTCCTGCCGCGGCCTCCACCCCAAAGCAGCACCACAGCGTTAAACTCCAAAACAAGCACCACTTACAAAAGAAAGGCAAGAAGCCCCCTCTGCCGCCCAGTGGTTGCTCAGCCTGCAAGAAAAAAGCGGACTTTGAACCCAAGGTGGAGTGGGAGACGAGCAACTGCACCCACCGCCTGACCAAACCAGGGTATCAGTCTCGTAGCATGCTAGGTTTCCCGCTAAAGCAGGTGAAGGAGGAGCAACTGGAAACTGAACTGAGCCCATACTACTGCTGTCCCCCAGAGGGTTCTGTGGAGTACTGCCACCGCTTGGCCTGCTTCCTCGGCCAGCAACCGTACGGAGACTCCGATGACCAGCCTCTAAACTCAGCCATGACCCCCTTGAAGCCAGAGTGCCTAGTAACCTCGCCATCTCTCACACATTCCCACCCACACCGAGCACTCGCCCTTACCCCCCACCCATGCCTCTGCACTGCTGACCACTGCTTCCCCGGCTACTACGTCCACATCACCCATCCAACGCACACTGGACAGACTTCAGCAGCCCTGGCCACACGGCCTCTCAACTTCAGCTCCACCGGCTTGTGCCCCAGTCGCATTACCGGATCCAAGCTCCTGGGGGGTCAGGTATCGCACCCGTCCGGTTTAGGCCACCCCGCTTACTGCAACTCTGTGGCTTCCCCCTGTTACGGAGATGCCTGCGGGATCAGTGGCTACAGCTACAGAGCGCTGCCTCCAGTGACGGGCAGCGGTTGTTCTTTTAGTGCGGGATGTACCGGATGTACGCACAGCATCAAGACAGGTGAATGAAAAAAAAAAAACTATCAATCAACTTGGATTTTCTTAGTTTTGGGTGGTTGGTGATCGGCCGATACTTAAATGTGAAACCGATCTTGTCCACCAATCTTATCTGCCTCTTCAAAGATCGGGAAATCAGCCACTTTCCCCTTTTAGTCTGCAATGACAAAAGCCTGACTGACAAACCCATCCACCAGGTTAACAGATTAACAGATACTGTTGCCAGATTTGTGGCTGTACTTAATCACTTTTCAGGCAAAATCAGGATGAGCATGCCAAGCTTTTAAAAGATCAGAGTTAGGCCAGAAAACTGAAATTGGTGACATTAAAGCAAACTAAACTTTTCCTGCTTTGTCCAATTAGAATGACCAGAATTTATTAGACTTTTACTGAGCTTTTCTCAAATTTAGAAGTTAAGATGCGTTACAGTTGCCTTGAATAAAAATGTTTTGAAATTCTGGCCCAGTCCTCTTGACAGAACGGCTGTGACTGAGTCTGATTGTTGGCCCTCTAGCTCACTGAGCCAGTCTCAGCTCTGCTCACAAAATTCAGCGCTTTGTGATGGCCGCTATAAAAGATTGACTTTTATAGCGAATTTGTCTGCATGTTTATGGTCTTGACAGTTTGGAAGGCCAATTTGGTCCCCAGTTTTAACGTCCATATTTCCATGTCTTTCTAGGACTATTGTATTATATGTCAAGTGCCAGAAAAAGGCATCACAGTAAAACATAAAAAATTAGAAAAAGTATAATAAAGGTATGATATGATAAAAAGATAAAATTTTGTTATTATGTGTTTGATTTTAGCTTTCTGTTTTCACCTATGATAAGACGAAGTAAGTGTTTTTGTTCCACAACCTGAAAGTCCTTCTAGGTTTTTCTTTAAACGTTGGCAGCTTTTTAGCTTATTTGTTTTTCGTCTACTCCGCCTCGGACCATGACCACATTGTTCACCATAAAATAAGAAAAGCTGCTGTTAGTTGTGGTCAATGAGGAGAAGTTAACGAGCCACTTAAAAAAGAGCAGAGTGAATAGTTGGGCATATGTTCAAAGTTGTATGTCTAATTTCCAGACTTACAATAAATTTGAACCCAATTCTAGTGTTTTGTTTGTTTGTTTTTGTTTTTTTACATCATCAAAATAATCTGACAGGAAATCTTTAATAGGTGAAAATTAAATTAAACGGATGGAAGAAATGTTGATGACCGCCTTAAACCATCTTTAATTCTGGAAGAGCCCAAAACGGTTACAAGTCTGCCGTCTTGGAGTAAAATCTTCCACGTTTTTTCCACCACATCTTGTAATGAAACGCTCTCTTTAAATCTGTCAGGTTGGGGTTTTTTGTTCAGCCGAGTAAATCACGATGCGATCTCAGCACCCTTCAAAACAAAAGCAGCCTTTTTGTAGATGCTTTCTCAACGGTCTGTGTTTGTGTCGGAAGGAGAATGTCGAGCCTTGAGCAAATTCACGGCCGTGCTCCTGTTAGCTGATAATGTTGGACAGCAGGTTGTCTTTATCGGAGCTTGGGTCAGAACTCATTGCTTTGTTTTATTGATTGGACCAATTCAGCTGCTCAGGAATAAAAAATAAAAGAAGAAAATGCATAAAACAGCTTTATTTGTCAAAAAGTAGAAGTGAATGCCTTCTTAAAACTGATTTTAGCAGCAAAATTCTTTATTAGCTCCGAAGATCATTCACTGTGATTTTAAAATATTTTGTCAATATGTACGTAGTATGATGAAAGATTCCCACCTTTGTTTTGATTTTTTGTTACTCTTAAATGTTTCAGAGAATATCACATTTGAAATGCGAGAACAAGGTTTCTAATTATTATTCCATTAGTTAAGGGGAAAAGTATTCTTGAACAATCTGACTCTTTTGTCGACGAGTAAATAAGTAAATAAGCCTAACAATGGCAATAACTGGCAGTGAGAATTTTACATGACTTGTGGGATTTTGTCCTGAACTGTTTCAGTTCAGTCACATTGAACAGATTTCAAGCATAAATCACCTGTTTAAGTTTATTACAGCAGTGACTTTGACTAGGTCACTTTAAACCTGGTTTAAACCAGCAAATAATGGCACTATTGATACAACGTTGCATTAAAACTTGTATTAAAAGTCCATTAAAATGGTCAACTTTGCATTAAAAGTGTCATTATTTACCGAATGACTCCTTCACCTTCATTACAGATGTTATGTCACGTTTATGAACATATCATGTCAGATATGTGCTACCTTTTCATCTGAAAGTCTGTTAGTAATCAACCTAACAAATTAATCACAAATGATGATGATGTAACAATAAGGGTAATTGTGTTCCCACATAGGTCCAGCAGGGTTTCCCCGACTGTATTACAAGCCTGGCGGGCCACCAGGCTTTACTTGTGCCCCACCATGCTTAGCATTACTAATTTATGCAAGTCTTTTTTAATATGTTTTAATTTCTTTATAGTTGGTGTTCAGGTATTAATCTCCCAATCTTTCAATAACATAATTATTAAGTGACATTTTCAGATTTACTGTCAACTTTAAACATTTTTAACTTGAAAACACGACAGGCCACTGGATGAATGACTGCCCTAGCGCCCGGCCACCGGGTTTGGCAGGTTTTCTTGGGGAAACCTTGGCCAGGTAGATGTGGGAAATTATCACTTTCACACAGACTTAAAGGTTTCAGCTCATTGAACAAAATTATAACAAATAATCTGAGCAAATGCAAAAGTCAAACAATTGAATTGAAAAAGTAGGAAAAAGAGGGAAAGTAGTTTCTATGGTACTACAAATGGTTTCAGTCAAGCTAGTCGAGATCCAACATGGTTGAGGATTTCAAGGTTTATCTGTTAGTTATTGTTGCTAACATTGTCTGAGTTAGGATTACAATTATACAAGACCAGCTAAGTCTGTACTATAAAACTTTGAGGTGAAATTAAAAAGCACTTGGATGAATGATAAATCTGTGCTTCCATGCTGTTTTTCCAGAGGCTTACACAACCCCAGAGGGCGACCACAGCCCTTCCCTTCTGGTTCCCTCCACCATGCCGATCGCCCAGTGTCCGCTGTCCGGTGTGGCCACTTCCACACAGACTAAAAGCCGCCTGCTGACCCCTCTGTCTGGCCGAGATCAGCCCCAGGCCATGTTAAAGCTAGCTAAGGAATGCCCTCAGAGCACAAAGGCCTCCAATGGCTCCTCTGTGGGCCACACCCGGCTCCTGACGAAACAGACAACCCCGGTGCCAACCCTCGGCAGCGGCAAACAGAAGAAGATCAGCCGCAGACGTGCGACGAACGGCTGGCGGCCTGTTGGCATCCCCACAGACAGGGAGGTCTTCGTTGCGGTAAGTTGCTTGAGTCTCGGGAGAAAAGTTTGTAAATCTTCGCACATTCTTCCTCTGTCGTACAGTAAATTCTACGTATTTGTAATGCCAGGGAGAAGACGAGGCCGCAATGCGGAGGTGTTACGAGGGAGTCGAGAGGGACGGCGAAGTGATCCGTGTCCGAGACACCGTATTGCTGCGATCCGGTCCCAGGAAGAAGTCCCTGCCGTATGTTGCCAAGATATCAGCATTGTGGGAGGACCCCAAAACAGGTAAGGTGTCAGGTTATCCATAAATCGCACAATAACAGCAGAGACTTGTTCTAATCAGAATCACAATGTCAGGACGCTGCAGCAGGTAAAAAAGAATATAGGCCATGAGTCACAAAGAACAACTCACATAAACGTACACAACCAGTAACTGAACCCCGTTTTCATGCAGTTGAACTCTGAACTCCACATCCTTCATCCCAGCACACCTGCACTATTCAGAAGACATGCCTGGTCCACCAAATTCCCTTCATTTACTCTCATACACTGAAAAGTGTAGCTAAAAAGCTTGAAACAACCCCCCAAAAAAAGAGCGAATAAATTTAAATATTCATATATCTCAATTTAGATCAGCTGACTGTGTCACATCTGTAAAGAGGTTCGTCTATTTTCAAGACAAATCTGACGCACAGAGGCGAAGATGACCGAGTGTTTCAGTCAGTCCTGAGCGAGAATGTACGGCAGAGTGTGTTCAGGCGATATATGTGTGTTGGTCTTCCTCAGGAGAGCTGATGATGAGCCTTTTCTGGTACTACAGACCTGAGCACACCCAGGGAGGCCGAGATCCCAGAGCACACTGTGAGGTGAGGCGTTCGGCAGACTGCAGCTAGGAATTAATTTCTCCCAGTGGGACGGTGATGGCTGTGCAACCTGTTCTGTGCCTCAAATACATCTATTGTTACGGGACAAGCTTAATGCAGTACATATTGTTTTTTCAAATGCTTCAATGTACATTTTACCAGTAGCAGCGATATGGAGGAGAACGTTGTTTACACACAATAGTGTGGACAGTGGCTGTTGCCAGAGACTTCATTATCTTTGCCTCTGCAGCCCTGAGACTGTTTGGTTCCTCAGCTTAACCACACTGCCACAAAAAAAACAAAAAAACAATGGTATCTGTTCGACCTCAGCCTTGCCGAAACCCTAGAACAAGGAGAGGAACGGTTTCACTCTCTGAAAATGTTTCCAGTGAAAGTCAGTGGCACTAGAGTGTTTTTTTTTTCTATCATGGTAAAACAAAGACACCCAACAAATCTCTCATGAACAGTTGTAGTTTCCTTTATGCTCACTGCTGCAAAGTGTTGCCGTTTCTTGTGTTATCTTTCTGGGCACAGCATTTAAAAAAAAACAAAAAACACTTGTGGTGATGTGACGCTGTACACCCACTGTTGGTTTCAGAATGAGATTTTCGCCTCTCGGCATCAGGATGAAAATAGTGTGGCCTGCATAGAAGACAGATGCTACGTTCTCCCTCTAGCCCAGTACTGTCGGTGAGTTAAAAAAAAAAGAAAGAGAAAAAAATCACTCTGACGAGTCATTTGTTCCACGTCGAATCTCGGCGTCACTTTCCTGAGACAGATTTCCTTTCACGCCGCTTCGTCTCACTGTTTCATTTGCAGATTTTGTGCCTTGGTGAAGCGGCGTGCCGAAGGCGCCCCGCCTGGCAGGGCCAGAATGGTGCCCTTCCGGCCTGACTTCGCCCCTCCCTCCCACCGCTGCGTGCCCACAGACGTCGACCCCGAGCTGGTGTACCTCTGCCGGCACGTCTACGACTTCCGATACGGACGCATCTTGAAGAACGTGCAGTAGAGCGAGAGCCTCCCCCGTCTCTCCCCCGTCGCAATTATCCGCCTTCACAGAGGAGGGGCAGCTGAAGAACTGAAGACCTCCACCCCTGTTAGCGATCAGTGTGAAAAGCGGGGAGACTGGGGAGGTAGTGGGGGGGCGGGGGGAATTGCATGTACACATTATGAAGCACAGATCCCTTTAGTTACATACCAAGAAGTTAGAATGTCGTGGGGAATCTCAGCTCAGTCAGAGAGCTAAACTCCATCCATCTGTTCAGATTTTTCCCCACCTCGCCTTCCCTGCCAGAAACGCCGAGCGCCGCGGCGGTCAGAACCGCGTCCCCCCCTCACCCCGCCCGAAGCACGTCAGCGCAACAATCATGTTTGTTCCGTTTGAGAGCCGCCGGCGCAGCAACGGTCCGGCACGCCGCTCCGCTGCTTCCAGGGAAACACGGGGCCGGCCCTGTCAGCTCCGCGTTAACGCCGCTCGACAAGCATGGGTGAAAGAGCAGCTAATGGAGAGTGTCATCCTTTTTCCCCTGATTTGACTCTGCACATCGTGCGTGTGTGTGTGTGTGTTTGTGTGTTGAGTGTTATCACTGAGGTTAAATATAGTGACATTTAGGAGGCTTTTAGGTAATCAAACCCAGCAAGAAAGTAGCTTTAGATGAAGTGGAGCATTTTATTTTTTTTATGTTGTTGTTGTTGGGGTTTTTTTAAACCGTTTCACATTAAGCAACTGATCGGCAAAGATCACCGTGTATTCCTGATAATACACGGTACTATCAGTGTATTACAATACCCTGATAACCATATGTTAACCATATGTTTTCACCATATAAGTAAAAAACTTACGGTTTTTACTTATATGGTGAGAAAAAAAATCCCAGTCAGTGGATTAAAAAACTCGACTGCACATGGCTGCAAATGACGACCGATGTTTTGATTTTATGCACGTCATATAAGAGACCAGGAAGCAGAAACATTGCAAAAGTATTTATTCCCCTTTAGAATGTTCCTGTGTTACAACCATGAATTTGAATGTATTTCATGCTGTTTTTTTGTGTTAGACCAACACAAAGTCGCACATAAATCAGAATAGCTGTCATGGAAATTTAGTTCTTTATGAACTAAAATCAGATTAAATATTTCAACAGTGAATACGGGGCAGAGTTAGTGTTTCACGACACAAAGTGTTTTAGAAACAAGCCAAAAAGCTTTGTTTTAAATTAATCTTAACGGCAGCATTTACTCCTTGATGTTTGCTAATGTTTAGGGTTTTTTTTGTGACTTTTCCTTCTTTCCTTCATTTGTGGATCGGGTAACTTTCAGTTCAGCCAGACATGTTCTGAAAGCAATTTGTTGCAGGGCAGTGAATGCAAATTGTCAGCTTTTGAGATTTCGGTTGTAAGATAAATTTGACTAATTTGGCACCACTGCGTGTTGGTCTTCCACTTAAAATCAACGTTAAGCACATTTGAATTTGTGGTTGTGACGAGACGTAAAATTTGCCAACACTTTTGCACTGTACTGTATTTCTGTTCCTTTCCAGTCTCCACGTTTAGGACAGTTTTCACGTCGCCTGATTCCTGATTCCTGCAGCCTGTCCAGGAGAAACCAGAGGACGGGGCGCAAATTTGAACGCCCCAAATCTCCGCCTCGTCGTCGGCGCTCGTCCCCATGTTTTGTTGCACTAAAACCAATCCCTCATGAAAACACACGATCGCCTCTTTGTTTCGTATCGGAGCTGCTGAGACATTGGCGGGACGTGAACGGCGGGGCTTACTGTAGCGCATTTGTTTGGGTGTTGCCTTGTTTATTGCGAAGGAGACATTACAGTTTGTGCAAACTGTTCGTTTTGACGACCAGAGACAAGTCGACCAACACGTCTGCCATGGTAACTTGACGCTCTTTGTACTGGATGAAATCAGTATGGATCTAGAGTCATTCCTTTTTCGTTTTCCCCTCACATATAATCCTATAAATACTCGGTATGTATTTATGTATGTATTCACACTGTTAATGTGACTAGATGTGCAGAAGGCTTCGGGATTCAGTCCTGGCTTGCTGTGCAGGCAATCGTAGCACTGTGATCGGTGTGTGACTGGACTGAAGGGGTGTTCCATGCTTTCAGGTGAAGCTTTCGCCGATCACAAACCACGCGCCCTCTCATTGCCTCCACCCCTGCGACGTTTGAGTTGCAGCTGTAAAAGATCCCCCACTCTCTGAAGCCATTTGTATCTCCCCTCCTCCTCTATTTGAAGCGCATCAATCCTGACTCAAAACTAAATCAAACCCTACGTTTCCTTCTTTTCCCCACTGGAGTCTTCAAAAAGGAAAAAAATATATAAGTCTATATATTCTCCTTACTTCACAATTTCTCCTCCTCCTAAAGAATATTTTATTATGTCGATTTGCTAAGATGGCACATGCAATATATTTTTTAGAATTACTATTTTTGAAGAATGAACTTAAGAAATCTTAACAAAGTATACGCTTTTCTTTTCTTTTTCCAGTAGCTATCAGGTCGGTCTAGAGTCGATGTTTGACCAAACGAAAGAGAAATATAAGGAGAACATATCTGAACCCCAGGAAGCATCTTTAAACAAGCAGACAGCCAATGCACAGTGTAGAAATTATTATTTTTTTCCCTTGCAAGATCTGTAATGATTATATTTAAAGTATATTTAAATGGAGAAAACAATTGAATATATTAAGATGTCAGTTTTAAGTTATTTGGGACTAATTATGTAGATTTTGTGTATTTGTGCTTCAGGACAGAAAAGCAGTTTTTTTGTTTATTTGTAATCTTACAAGCTTAATGAGGTTTAATAGCAGAAACGTAACCGTAGGTTAGCTTTGTTGAGACCAGAGCAATTTTCACCCAAAGCACCTTCGCTCTGGAGGACCTCCGTTCGGCTCCCGAATGGCCGAACAGAAACCGGACCGACCTTAACGGGACAGTTCGGGACTTTTTCTAACCGAGGTTCTGCAAATGTGAGGAGCAGTTCATATCTTGCGACCTTCAACAAACGCGCTCTGCATTGATTCTGAACGATCCCTTGAGGCGTGCAGTTTGGGAGAAGGGTCACCTGAGCTTTCATTGACAGGGCAACAGGGGACGGGAGGTTCCTCCGAGGTCCTAAGCTGAAACCAGAAACCCTGGTGCAAAAGGTCAGATGTCACTTGCGAAAGATGTAAAGTATTATTGGATGTAGACTGACAGTATTTCAAAACGGTTGCCCTTAAAACTCTACAAGGAGCATCCCTTTCTGTCTTGTTCAGGTTAACTGGTGGATCGGCATAGATGTTGACATTAGCATAGATGACAATATTATCATGTTGGCTTTCACTAGCTGGATGGCTAGCATTAACTCAGTCCATTCAGCAAGTAGGCTTTTGCATTAATGTCAAAATTAGCATTGAAGCTAATGCTAGCTTAATCATGAATCATAAAGATGTCTTTTTGCCCCCTAGAGGTCAGCCAATGCAAGATTACAGATGCTGTCACACCAACGTCCCTTATCTGTTCGCCGGCCAGAAGCAGCCGAGGAAAGCTCAGACAGCCATGTGCTCCCCTCCCCAAGTGCTGGCCAGCCTTGCAAAACGCATGGACTTAGATAGCCTGCTGTCATTCAGTAACCTAATCAGCCACAGGCTTTTTGCATGGAGACAGTTGTGTCCTTATTTCCATGAAAACAAGGTTGGGCAAGCACTCAGGAATAAGAAGTTTCAGCGAACTATGATGTGAAACACTGAGTGACCTTCGCTGCCGCGTGTGTGTGTGTGTGTTTGGGCGTGCGTGCGCTTCTGTGTGCGTGTTCACTCCCATCAGACAAAAAGCACCCGACCAACCTGTGAGATTCAGCTTTCTCTGTGGCCTGTATTGATGCTTATTGTTGGCATATATTTTGATATATTTTGAAAATGTGGGATATACAGTTTAGATATTTTTGGAGTAGAAAGAGTTACGTGTATCAGATCACTGTCACTTTGTCATGCTCTCTGAAGATCTCTTGGATTTTTTTAATTTTATTTTATTTTAAAGACTATATCATCCCAACTGATTTAATGTAATGTTGAGAGAATATTTATAAAATTTAAGTCCTTTGTGAAAACGATGACTCTGAGTTGTTTTTTTTTTTTTGTTTGTTTGCTTGTTTTATTGTCGCATGTTGCTTGTTGTTTAACCAACAGTCAATTTGTCAGATCGGATGAAACGGTACCTTCTTTTAGTTTATTCAGTTTACTTTTATTTGAAAAATCAAACGTGCTATTTGTGATTATCGGAACATGACTGTGGACGTAGACGGAAGAGGGAGGCAAAGGTCACAGCATGAATATCAACAGGAAGTGGGTAAGTTTCCCTCCAATCAGCTGTAATAACGATGGTGTCCACATGAGGGCAGCAGTGAGACATTGGCTGTTAAATTCTGTTCTGACCTCCCAAGTTTTCGAGCAGGAAGAACAGCCTGAGCAGTTCATTGATCAGACTTAATAATGCAATTAGACACACCCTTAAATCTGAGATGGCTCCAATCACACGTTTCTATGTTCACACTAAAGTGTCTCTTTTGTTGCTGTTTTATTAAATTACATCTAAAAGAAAGAAGTCATTGTGAAGTGGACAAAAATTACGTGTAAAAAGTCATGTTCTGTGAAGATCCCAGGGTTTTGCTTTTCTCCAGAGAGCATTAGTTCAGAGTAATGAAAATCGGGGAGCACAGGTGAAGAGGTTTAAGGGGTGGATGAAACAAGATCCCAAGCTTTGACTATGTCACAGAGCGCTGTTAAATCCTTCACATGAAGATTGAAAGCAGGATGGCAAAACTCTGAGCCACCATCTGACTCTGCCAAACGGGAAGCTCGTGCTGTCTGAATGTTTCCCGACAAAACGGTATTCTGTCGGCACAGATTGCGAGCTGACTTAACAGGAAGTCTGATGATGAGAAATGATGACTGGGGAGAGCGAGCATCCATCACAGCGGATGAGAAAACGCTGAGTGTGTCAGGACGCGAAGACTTTATTGGATTAAACTCAATAATGCAAAGATGAACGTGTTTGTTTCTGATTGAAAGTTTCTCGTTCATTCTTGTGACTTACGACTTCCTCCGTGAGAACAGAAAGCCTCGATGCATCAGCGAACGGACACATCTGCTGGAGAAAGAGTCGATCCAATAAACTGCAAAATGGACGGAAAAAAAAACACCTTGTCTCACACCAGGGTGGGGGGCAAACCTAATCGCCTAACTAGCTTTTCATCTCGTCCCGTTTCTTCCCCCTGTTGGTCTAATCACCACATCCGGCTTATTGTCCTCCTGATGACTAATTAATCAAATTTTGCTCCCTAATCTCTGGATCTCGTCATCCTTACAGTAGGCCCAGGCTGGCCAGGCCGGATGGCGGCCTTGTGTAAGCTCTTTCTGGGGGAGTGTGTGACCGTGTGCTTGTCGGAAACTTTTGCATGCGACAGCAGATTCTCCAGCCTCACTCTGCCGCGTTTGGTTTTTCCGTCAGAAGAACGCTGTTCTTCAGGACGGAGGTCATGACCCTTCGGCGCCTCCTTGAAGCGGCGGTTGTGTGTTTGCACCTGCAACTCCTGATGGGAGAGTTTGTTTTGTCGTTGCCACCAACATTTTCCACCTACTAAGAAAATGAAGACTCTTGCACACTCCTATCCTCCCTTTGAGCTTCAGGTGGATTACCAGGTCTTTAATCTCTCCTTTGAGTGACATCACCCTGTGCTCACGCTCCTTACAGGATATTTATTAGGTGACAGTGAGGAGAGGGGGAAGCAGGAGGTGGGAGCCACTGCTGGACTCGGAAAGGTGAATCAGTTCTCCAGGGAAGTTCAGACCAAAATAATCTCGCATCCTCAGTCAGTGACATGCAGGCAATCATAGCAGAAGAAGATGCCAGCATGGAGGAGCTGGACGACCACAACCTGCAGATGGAGGAGAGGGCCCAGGGCCTGCTGAGGACACCTTCGCTGAAGGGGAGCTATCACAGCGACACCGATTTCATGACAGGTAAAAACTGAGAGGGTTTGAGGGAATTCAGATCCGTCAGATAAATTAAACACGTCCGGTTCCTTCCTCCGTGGAAGGACGTGAGATCAGTCAAAGAGCAAAGGGACGATGTATTCATACCGACAAAAGTTGCACATGCAGGTGGCTGGAAGTTTTCGCTTTGGTTTATTGCACTTGTGATTCTTCAGAGGGGAAAAAGGAGGAGGAATCAAGAAGAACACATGAGTTTTAAAAGGTGAAAAGTAAAATGCTCAAATCTCCTGAGATTGATTGAACACTTCTACTTTGAATATGGTTAATTATATTATGTGTTCCCGGCATGTTGATTTATATCAGGAGGAACCCTAAAATACCTGACATTTTCACACTCTGCATATTAAATCGTTGATAATAATTCTCGTCTCATGTGCCACACCCAGCTAAAGAAATTGTCAGATGAGATGACTTTGAAACATGTCCAGGAAGTGCATATCAGTGAAATGATAAATGAAGGATGCTGCCTATGTCGTCTGTTTTTATTTCTTTGTTTTGTTTTGGGGTTTTTTGGTGCAGAGCTAATGTGGGAAGACAGATGTTCTGTCATTTAAATGACACCATCTGCATGCAGGAATTAAAACACTCACTATGTCTCAGTTTTAAAGGAAACCCACATGTACAGATGTTTACATGCATCTCTTCCTAAATGCACTCGCGATTGCGTTTGCAGGAAATGCGCCCGAGAGCAGAGTTTGCGCTCGGCGTTCACTAAATCTCTTTCACAGCAGCGGGATTATTGTGCTATTCTAATCCCAATCCCATGTGGAGAGTATGGACGTGGCACGAGGATGAAGTCACGGCCAGGACAGGAACAGACACAGGAGGTCACGGGCCAGCAGAGGATCACAGCCCTCAGTGAGAGGCAGATTACCGCTGGCTGAATGCTTCAGTACACATGCATGAAGTCTTCATACACAGCAGATTGTTGTTATGAGGAGGAAATGGATACGTCTAAAAAGTGGCACCAAGAGATGGATAGAAAGACTTCTGACCTTTAGGATAATACGACCTAACCTCTGACCCTTCATGTTTCTCATTATTCATACAGTAATTAAATCTCTTCAGTTTGCAATGAACACGACTTTATTCAAGCGTTATTGTGCTATTGCTGTTGATATTTTTTTTATGTACAAATTATTTATCGGATTAAAAAAAAAATCCACTTGTAGCAATTTGTCAGAGTTTAGCTAACACTTTCAGCTAGTTTCCCAACTAGCTTTATGTTGTTTTTCTTTTTAGATAATTAACATTTATATCTTCATTACTGTCATAAGCATATGCTCTTAAAATAATCCAAACTTTTATCCTCTTACTGTAACTATGTATCCAGTTATTTATTTCAGTTTTAATATTCAGCTTTCCGTTCAAACCTCAAATAGTGACGTTAGCTAACGGCCTTCAGGGCTGTTAGCTGATCCAGTTTCCAAATGTAGCTTTTATCAAACTGAACTTTCTGTTTAATCATGTCAAACTTGTATAGAGCAAGCACCACCTTGGTAAACGCAAACATTTTTCAAAAACTACTGAAAAAATATTCTTACTACAATACTGCACTATGTTAATAGCGACAAGCTTACAATAACTAAAAAAATTAACTGAAAGGTTTTACGAGGCTGATATTCTAAAACTTTGTGTTAGGTGCGGTAAAGAATAATAATAATAATAATAATAATAATTTACACATGAAAGAAAATGTGTGGTGCAAAACTTCCTGGATGCCACCAGCTGGCGTTTTCAAAGCAGCCAATCCAGGAGCACCAATATTTTTTTCTTGGCGCTGATTGGCTGAATCTGTAAGTACAGAAATACAAGACTGAAGATTTTACATTCGGTAGCCACTGTGTGTGTAAATGCAAATTAAGATGTATTTGGTGTGTGAACTATTAAAACATTTATGAATTTCAACTATTTGTCAGCTGCTAAGCCTATTGGATACTGGGGGTCCATTGTAGTAGTCAGTATGATCACAGGACAATCAGCAGTTATCTTCAGACTACTAGAATACAGTTAATTTGGGTTTGATCGTCACGTTATCCTCTTCATCACAATTTAGACGTACTTAGTTTGCAGTAAGAAAAATATCTTGTAAATCACCACCCCAACCACCAGGTGGTGGTTTTTCCGAAGTTTGAGAAATGTGGTGACAAGTGGATTTGCTATTGTTTAGCAACTTAGCCCTGATTCAGATGATTGTGGAAAATCACAATGAAAAAGAAATTATGCCTCCATTTTTACCCAAATCAATGATGTTTATGTTGCTCCCCTTCGTGACCAAAACCTTGGCGATGTGAAATCTCAAGTTGTTTACATCTCTGCAATGTACCTTCAGGTCCAGCTCTGATGTTTCTACTTTGTCCCTCCCTCATATAGTGACATGGGATTATCTGTGTGGGCGGGACCTAAAAGATTAACTTTGGGATTGGGATTAACATTGTACTCTCCACTCCCATACACACACACACACGCACACACACATCAGACCCGTGCAAGTCTGTGTACTCATGGCCAGGGACAATTCAGGTCGAATTGGATGACTTCTTAGTTTTTAAGCATTCCCAACCCCCACCTTTATAGACACACATCCTGAGCTGGCGGCTTAACGCCTCACCAAATCACCATCGAGTCCTGCAGTGAGCCAGGGACCGGCGCGGCGGTACCCTCCTTCAGTTGTAGCGACAGTCTGATGCTGGACCCTGAAAACCGTACAAGCAGCAATCTGTGAATGCCACATGACCGGAATGAGAGAGATGAGACCGTAGTGGGTAAACGACGAGATGGAGGCGCAACAGGGCGACAGAGGAGTCCAGAGGACTGAGAGGGTTTGTTCGAGAGAGGAGAAGAAGAGGAGGAGGACATCTGGGCTGGTTGAGGACAGAGCCAGCGGTCAGCAGAGATACCCCAGCTTCTCATCGGCCTCCAGCAGCTCATATGGTACCCGCCTCTGACTTGAGCAAGAGTTTGTAGCAGAAAAATGACGGCGATGGAAAGAAATTTTGCTTGATGTCATTGTGGTTTCCATGCTGCTGAGTGTCGACAGCGTTGAGCTGTACAGTCCAAAAATTTGACTAAAATTATTGTCCAGATTTTAGTCCAACAGCCATTTTGAAAAAAGGGATCTTACATTTTAAGCCTTTTCCTTTATTGATCTTTTTTTGGCAAAGTAATTTGGTAGTTGTCAAGATAAATTCTGCAAGTTTGAATTTTACGCTGGTCAAAGAAACGTTTTGCATGCTTTCAAATGTTCTTTTTAATGGGGTTAATGATAGAAAATGTGTGAATCTCATTCAGTCAGTTTGAAGACCGCTCACTCTCTGGGCGTCTGATCTCTGCGTTCATCTTCCTGATTTCCCTTGGTCCTTCTCAGACGACCGCAGCTCGGCAGCCAGCGGCCTGGACGTGGCCGACCGCCTCACCTACCTGGAGCAGAGGATGCAGATGCAGGAGGATGAGATCCAGCTGCTGAAGTTGGCGCTGGCTGACGTCCTCAAGAGGCTCAACATTTCTGAAGAGCACCAGGCAGCCGCCGCTGCAGGGAGGAGAGCGCCTGGCGCCAAAGGTGACCAAGAGACGTGTGTTTGCTCTTTAAGAAGAAGGCTTGTTAATACCTGTTATTCTTTACCTTGAATTTGAAAAACAAATAATTATTCCCCCACTGATAACTTGTGATGTCTGTGTCTGTGCAGCCAGACCCGTCTCCCTGGCCTTGCCCCCCAGAAGCTCCATGGCGGCGTCCAGCTCTGCTTCCCTCAAAAAGAGCTCCACAGTGCCCTCCAGCGCCACGACGAGGAACTACAGCCCCGCGCCGCCACCTCTGAGGTAAATCTGCTCATTTCCTCCCCTTCAGAGCAGCACGATGCAGATGATGAACGCAATTAGAGCAGAGAGAGGAAGCTGCAACATACATCACCGCCCCAATCAGAGTGAGGCTTCGTTCTTCATTATGGAAGGTGCAATCAGCAGACACCCTTCATTATCTCTGAGACACCGCACACGGAGGCTCTGTGATTATCCCCTACGCTGGCCTTTAATTCCAAGCAGCAACCTCTTCCTCTCAATTACCTTTCAAGCGATACTGACATTAGATAGTGTGAGTCAGAAAAGCCTGATGGCCTCACCTTAATCTGCTGTCGCCGTATCTGTGCTGCTCTGGAATAATTACACAGAGAGAGGTAAATCTCCACTCAATTAAGGCTTTCAGTGTCTAATTACGATGAAAAAAAAAGAAAAGAGAGAGAAAAAAAAACTTATTAGCAACCGCAAATTGATTTCATCCCCCTCTTCTTGGGATTTTCACGTCACTTCTTCTCTGTCTGGCTTCTCTTCCTGTTCTCTCCAGCGGTGTGAAGAGCCCGCCAGGCAGTGCAAAGGACAGTCCATGTAAGATCACCAAGCCGCGGCCCGCGTCTGCAGCCTCGGCCTGCAAGAAAGTTCCTGAAGAGTAAGAGAGTGCCGGTCATTGTGAGGTCAAGTCGTTTGAGCTGAGGCCAAATGTCTCACGGCAACATTTGGCGTACGACTCAAACTTTGGCGTACGACTCAAAAGACTTTGTCAGGTTGCACCCACCAACCTCAGTGCATTTTGTTAGGATCAAAGTCAAAGTTGGGTTCAATTGTGAAAAGGGAGGAAAAGGATGCATTGTTGGCACAAAATGCTTTCTACAGATGAGAATCTGAAGAGTGTGGGATGCAGGGGAGACGGTCAATCTGAGTAAGAGAGGGGGAATAAAAGAACTGATCGACCTTTTGAACACGGCAACCTCTTGACTTGTGCTATCAGTTCACGTCGGACATTTGGCATTATTTCCTAAAAATACATCTTTGGAAACTTTGCATCGTTTCCTGTCCACCATTTTCTCCCCTCCTCTTAATTTTGTTGCTGTCTCTTCCTGCAACAGACGTGTCTGTGAGACAATCTTCAAGTGGGTTGATCTTTTCCTGGTATTCTCAGTTCTTCTCACCAGTTCTCTCTTCTATTCCTCGTTTTTCTATGTCAACACACCAGAAGCAACAAATCCAGTGAGCCCGATGTGAGCGTAGGTAAGGAAACACTCCTGTGTGCTTTAAAATATACCAATAAAATGACAGCTGGACAAAATGGAAGAAAAACTGACTCAAAAGACAAAAGAATTAACAACGTTTCTGTGTCTGTGGCGTTTTGGTGCAGGATCGAGGCGGGTGACACATTGCAAAGGTAGGCTTTGTCTCTTGGCGCACAAAGACTATAGTTTAGAAGAAAATGTCGTAGTTAATGGCTCTTTTTTTGTTTTTTATTGTTTTGGTCACATCATACCATAACTGTGTGCACCATCACCCCATTTCTTGCATCCATTTCTGTCTCTCTTCTCCCCCGTTTTCTCTCTTTCGCCCCCTGGAATGTCATTTCCCCCCCCTGTCCGTTCTCTGGGCCTCCTCACCACATTTCACCACTTCACTTAGTGACTATGCAGATCTATCTGAGCCCCCTCGCAAGAAGGACTGGGTCTTCTGAAGAGGCCAAGTCGGCGTCTGCGGTGCCCGCCTGCAGGGGGCCCGTGGCCGGCCCCGGACCCCCGCCGACCCACAGGGGCGTCCGACCGCAGAGGAAGAAGTCCACCCCGTCCTTCACCTTGAACCTCCAGAAAACCGTGACGGGCCAGAGCTCAGCGCAGGAAACGTCCAGCTACATCAGCCCGGTCAAGTCGCCCAGCCAGTACTTTCAGATTTGCTACTGACGCAGACGGACACTCCGAACTCGTCTCGATCAGAGACTTCAGTTTTCAAAAACTGCAACCTCCTTGCCATAAAAATGCAAAGAAGCTGCATTTTTATGACAACCTCCTTGCAACTGAATTGATAAAACTCCTAAAGAGGCTCACCGAACCACTTAGCTGTAACTAACCCACCTGACTGCATCAAATATTGTGATTTATGCTTATTTCTTTTGAACATTTGTCTGCCTTTCTTTACTTTCCTTACATACCACATGTTAGTGATAACTTTACTGGCCACATGCTTAGTAGATCTGTGCATCATTTTCCTGAACTTCTGTCTTCTCTATGAGAGCACTCTCAGTGACGTACATGAGGAAGCAACTTATTGTCGACATGCCTAGATTATCTGTGTGCACCGATGTCTTTTTGTGTGTGTTTTGATGTTAGTTTCTGCCTCCAAATGTTTGTTCTTACTCAGAAAAAACAATAAAGAACGTTGATCTCTGTGTGAGGTGTCTCGTAGAGGGCCTGATGAAACATGCCAAAGCGACTCGACTTCTTAAACAGAAAAGAAAAGCCTACTCGAAGCACATCTAGTGACTTTTAGAGCTTTAAAAGATGCTTTTAAAGCATCTAGTGACTTTATGGATGACTTTTATTCATCCATGAAGGATGAATAAATGGAGAAAGAGTTTCCCGCCAAATGAAATCATGTAAAATGTAAAATCACACCTTTTCAAGAGCAAACCTGTCCTATGTTGGCTTTAGTAAGAAGTTTATAATTCATCCTTTAAGTTCATCAAGTTAGAAAGGAAGACGATGAGGAAAATAAAAAAGACATCATGTACATCACAATAGATCAAAGAAGTTCTAAAGGTTTCATGTCTTGCGCGCCAAAATTGAGCCCATAAAGTTCTGACAGAGACTCGATTCCACAGCAGCAAAAATGGCGAAGTGTTCCAGGAAGATTCATTTTTCGCGAAACACACTGGACTCCAGTGACGAAGAATTGACAAAGGTACGATCTTGGCACAGAGACCCAGGGCTGAGCGATTCTGACTGAGAACAGGAGCAGGAAAGCCACATTATTCCTGGACTCTCTGTGTCAGCCTGGGATATCAAAAAAATGCAAAGACAGCTGCAAGAGTCTTTGCAAGAACAAGAGCTCCTGAGGAAGAAGCTTGAAAATGATGAAAAATACATAGATTTACTTCAACGGGAACTGAGGAAAGAACACCGCAGACATCAGACAAAAGTTGAGGCATCTTCACCTGAGTCAGCTGACATACCGCCACGTCCAAATGAGAACGAGTCTGTGTTGAGCACCTATTGGAAAAGCTTGTCCCATCAATGTGAAGATTACTTTGAAGACCTACTCGTCCAACCAGAGGAGGGGATTGTGAAGAAAGAGGATAAATTTGATCACAAGAAGCTGGAAGAAAATATGAAACGTGTAGAACGTGATGCAGTACCGCTGCAAAATATCTTCAATGACCTGGACGCCCTGCTGAACTGGACCTCTGGATATTTCTCTTCATTTTGGTTCTTCACATACATGTACACAGCGTGGTGTGGCTGGACCATCCCCATGTTGCTGCTGCTGATAATTCTCCGCTTGTCCTTGAATTATTTAATAAGCAAAGGCTGGAAGATCACGTGGGGCATCGTACCGCAGCTGACTCAGCCACTGGGACTTCTGAAAGCACACCCATCTTTCAGAGAGAAACTCCATCAGGTTAGGGACGTTCTTCATCAAGCCCAGAACCTGTTTGGACTTATGGCCGACACCCTCGAGAAGGGAAAAAATTTGTTCATGTGGGTCAAGCCAAAGATAACGATGAAGTTCTACGTTTTACTGTGGGTGTTCTTTTTCTTCACGTGCTTCTTATGTTATCAGATGATGGGAACCATCTTAGTTCTTTCTGCTGGGTTGAAGTTCTTCATCGTGGACCTCATCTTTAACAGTTACCCCGTGCTAAAGGAGCGTTATGACACCTTCGTAATTCTCTGGAAAACTTTACCCATCGACTCGGAGCTGCAGGATCACGCCGACCACAAGCGCCACAGCCTGAGCAGTCGGTTTGCTGCTGCAAGGGATCGACTGAGCAGCTTCAGTGCTGTTCATTTCAGAAACGGTGGCAGACCGATCCATTTCAGGAGAAAGAAAAGACTTTTTCATGAGATTTTTGGCATTCCCGATAGTGAGCAACCTCTGCCTGAGTATAAGACCGGCTGGCACTGCTGTATGGTGAATAGAGACAGAAAAGCAATAAAAAAATTCGGCGGTTACGGAGTCCTATACATCACGGACAACTATTTGTGTTTTAAGAACTACATGAATACGTTGAATACAGCAATAAAATTGACAGACATCAAACAATTTGAGAAATTTAAACTTGTGTCAGCACTGCCCAGTCCAGGTATCGGGATGTCAGTAGGAACGGCGACCACCAAAAAGCCACTGTTGTTTACTCCTATGATACGCAGCGAACGTGCGTATCAAGCCGTCTCCTCCCAGATGAGAAAGGTGTTTGAACAGGCAGGTCTGCAGAGTGCAAGTATAGAGTGACTTGCACTCTCGTGCTGCAGCGACTCGGGAGGAGCACTAGGAGGCGACAACTCGGGAGGAGACGACGACACGGGAGGAGCACCAAGGAGGCGACGACTCGGGAGGAGACGACGACACGGGAGGAGCACCAAGGAGGCGACGACTCGGGAGGAGCATTAGGAGGCGACGACTCGGGAGGAGAAATAGGAGGCGACGACTCAGGAGGAGACGACGACACGGGAGGAGCATTAGGAGGCGACGACTCGGGAGGAGAAATAGGAGGCGACGACTCAGGAGGAGCAATAGGAGGCGACGACTCGGGAAGAGACGACGACACGGGAGGAGCACAAGGTGGCGACGAGGAAGCACGAGGGAACTCGGAGGAGGGCCGGACGTGGTCATCGGGGCCCTCGGGGCAGTAACCCCCAAACTGGAGCAGTGGCTACAACAGATCCCAGGAACAACATCAGACATCTCAGTCCAGAAATGTGCAGTCCTTGGCACAGCCAAGATACTGCAGAACCCTCAAGTTCCCAGGCCTCTGGTAGAGGACCCGAGCTCAGAGGATAAGAACCACCCGCGGTGGGTGAGAAGGTAATTTATATGATATTATATATATATATACATTTATATATATGTGTGAGGAGGGATTTTTAAATATATATTTATATATAAATTCCCTTCTCACCCACCGCGGGTGGTTCTTATCCTCTGAGCTTGGGTCCTCTACCAGAGGCCTGGGAGCTTGAGGATTCTGCAGTATCTTGGCTGTGCCAAGGACTGCACATTTCTGGACTGAGATGTCTTATGTTGTTCCTGGGATCTGTTGTAGCCACTGCTCCAGTTTGGGGGTTACTGCCCCGAGGGCCCCGATGACCACAGGCACCACTGTGGTCTTCACCTTCCAGGCCCTCTCCAGTTCTCCCTGAGGCCCTGGTATTTCTCCAGTTTCTCCTGCTCCTTTTTCCTGATGTTGCAATCACTTGGTATTGCTACATCTACCACAACGGCTTTCCTCTGTTGTTTATCAGAGGAAAGCCGGAATATTTATTATATATATATATATATATATATATATATATATATATATATATAAACCAGCCTTTAAAGAAAACAGTAAACACCATTACAAATAAATAAAAAATATATATATATATATATATATATATATATATATATATATATATATATATATATATATATATATATATATATATATATATATATATATATAAATTTGTGGGCACTACTCCATCAGGAATCAGATTAATTTCAAAGAAAACAGCTGAGCTTTTTTGCGTGAAAATATGATGCAGTGAGAAATATCTTAAAGGGATCCGATGATAGTTCATCTTCAACAGGTTAGCATAGCAATATGGTCTAATCAAAACATATTTGTCACATTTTTTACACCAAATCATAACATTTCACCTGATCTGTTCTGTGTAATTTAAGCTTTTTTCATGAGCTGTTTTGGACGTCTGTCCCTTTTATGCAAATTAGCTGATGCCGCCCCCCAAAGGTTACATCACACTTAACGCCTTCCAGAGCAGCTTGTTTTGCTTTGCATGTTGTAATTTTAACGATACTAAAAGTCAGTGATGCTTTGAAACGGAACAACAGAAACAGCAAGAAAACTTAAAAACGCGCATTTAGCTTTAGCGTGTCCAGCTAGCAGCAGTGGGAGGAACTGTCCTACTGCCACAGGCGAAGAGAAACAAAACAGCCCAAGCGCGTCATGCTCGACTCTGCCGCCATTACTGAGAGTCACTGAGTCACATCCACAAAACCGGACCGTTCAATATAAGCAGGTTTCTGTCACAAAAAGGTTCGTTGCTCCTTATTTCTGACCCGATTTCTATAAAATATTGCTTAAATTAAAGCTGAGTAAATGACCGATGTGAAATTTGTTTTGTATTTGGATATAAATTTGGTTTCTGTGAAGATGCAAGAGAGGACTAAGAAAATTTCTCTTTTATTTTGGTCAATAATTGACTATTACATAGTTGCCGCTGTTGAAATTGATTTGTTAAAATTTTACAAACCACAACTCCGATATTTTATTAAATTTGATGATAAGAAACGAGGCGGTTATTAGTCCCGATTTTGTTGTCTTTGTTGTAGGTTTAAAAATTACAGCAGTAAAAGTAAATCCTACAAACAAGGCGGAAAACAACTTTAAGCCAAAGAATTATATTCTGCATTTCCTCGCCCTCCGGGTCGCTGGAGCTTTGCGCTGTGGTTAGCGTCCGGCGTCTGGAGCGTTCCCCGATTCGGTTGCCCTCAGAGTTTGCCCTGACAAAACCGAGAGCGAGAGGTTTTCAGGGGTTCGTTTCGTTAGTCCACATTCTCACCTCCACAAACGAACCGCTGCTGGATTACGATGGACTCAACTGGGCTGGTGTGAACGCAGCCGCGGCGTGAAGAAAAGTTTGAAACTCTGCAAAACCTCTAAATCACGAGGCTCCAAGCAGTGGTGGAGCTAGACTTTTTTTCAATGGGTGGCCAAAGGGTGAGCAAGGCTTTATCAGAGGGGTCCACATACAAATGGACCGTTCCATGGAACGAAAGGAAAAATTTGTTCAAAATTAATTAATATAACTAGTTAGGTTATAATTCAAAGCTTTCATATGACATAGCCTACTTACATTTCAGTCATTATAAAACTTAATGGTTTTTCACATATTCTTACCACACATTTCAAGCAAGAGCTGGGAGATATAAAACATTAGAGGGCAGCATGTGCACTAAAACATATGTTAAAAGAATCTGTCTAAAACATGACCTACCAGCACTAGCATGGCTAATATAATAAACGAGGCACTACGCAGCGGTGCACAACCATTTCGTTTTTCTTTTTAGAAATGTATGACAAGTGCCGCCTCTCATTAGGAAGGAAACAGCGGTTACGGCTGAGCGGTAAAATGTAAATACCTGCAAAACTCCTAGATGGTGTAA